TTATTGTCTTTATTTGAGGGCCTTACAGAATTGAGATTTTTGCTTCTATTTCTGTTTCAAATCCCATGCAAGTGGGGTGTGAAAAAGTTGTTCCTAGCTGATTGGCTTTTAGGTGCCGTGAGAGGATTTGCTGGTCTGCATGCAGTTTCCAATGGAGAGGGACCAGCCGTGACAACTGGCACTCTTATGGTCAGAACAGGGCAAAGGCTGAATGAGCCACTGAGTCTAAACTTTCCTCTCATTTTGGGGATCTTTCTGCAGAGAGCACCTGCCTGGGTAGGCCCCAACAGTGGTGGTAACCCTGGGAGCACTAGCGTAGGGAATTTCCAGTCTCTCGAACACTGTTTTCTTATGCTGCTTAGAGCAAGTCTACACAAGACCATGTTTAAAAAGCTGGCAGCTGCCTGATCCCTGTGCCTAATAGCGTTCTTGCTGTTGCTAACAGTAGCTGCACTGAGCGGGTGGTAGTGATGCTGGAAAGCTCAAGCTAAAAACACAGTTTATCCTGAGTCCGATTGTTCCTGTCTTAGACGCAACAAAACAGGGGAGCCAGTCTTTTATGTACACAGCTTGAAAGGCAGTTAACTCAAAGCAGCCCGAGTGGGAAGAAATCCAAGGTCTGTTTTTAGACTCAGACTCCTTTTCGCAGGGACTTTTCCAGGTAGAACGTCCCTCCAAGCAGTTGTTCAGGCCCAACTGTGCACGGATCTTGTGAAGACGAGCTCTCTAACCGCTCACTAACCAGGTGATCAGCTGTGAACACAGCTGTGCTTTGACTGTTCAAAATAATGTAGGATTGCCAGCCCTTTTTTTAAGCTAAAAATACCAGCATAAGCACTGATCTTCTGAAAGGAGCCCCTGTGGGCAAACCCACGCAGGTATAAGCATCTGGAGGAGCAAATCCATGTACAGAATCAGACTCTTAAGCCTGATCTTTGTTTAGTGGACGGGCAGCATTGACAAACTAAATATATTACAATCAACCCTGTATATAAAGTGCATGCTAATGCTGTGTTGTTGTCCTTCACGAGCAAAGATGACCACATCCAGTGTGCAGGGGGAGAGAGAAAAGGAGTGGAAAAGAAAAAAAGGGGGAGAAAAGAGAGAGGAGAAGGAGACAAAAAGAGAAAACAGAGAGAAAAGAGGAGGGTTGGAGCTAGGTTGCATGGGTACATGCTATAGTTAGTTAGATTAATGTTATAGCATACTAATGCTATAGATTAGTTTTAAACATATTGATAACATCCAGTGATTTTTAGGTGGCTTATGCATTGTTATAGTGTGACTGTGTATTTATGTAAAGGCCCTGGCCAAACTTCCCAGAAGGCTGTGAGGCACACAAAGAATGAAAGTCTTAAAACACATTATCTTAGATAAGGAAGGAGGCTAATTTGCAGATGTGGGGGCCGGGGGCACCGCTCAGTCTACAAAGCTCTAATGAATGGTAAGATCAGTGAAAAGGAAACTCCTTAGTTGGATTTCTCCATGTGTGAAATCTTAACTGACATCCTCCAAGGACTTTGAAGAACTGCTCTGGATTGCTTTTTAGAGGCTGCTAGAGCAAGGAAACCTCTCCAACTTTCCAGCGTCTTTCTTAGACTAGACGAGTTAGATTCTTAAACACTCACTTCGGGTTTGCAGTGCAAAATAGATCCAGCCCTGCTGGATTCTGTGATTAGG